ATAGGACCACCCGGTACATTGGCGTGAAATGCGCAGCGCGCAACACGCGGCGAAGAAGGAGGAAGCTGTTAGACACAACACACTCAGCGGACCTCCCATCAATATACGGCCGAATGCAGTTAAGATATATTTACTCGGTTCCATTCCATACGTCAGCCGCGTGCAGACGCGCGATGCGCCCATGCCCGGAGAAGGGTGCATCAATCCAGCGCGTGGATCGGGATGTGTGTAGCGTTGAGTGCACCGGCGACGTCGCGCATTCGTCTTTCGCCGCCTTTTTAAGAAGGACCGCTTTGCCTGCCGAAACTGTGTGCGTGTGTGTATTGGATACCCCGGGAAAACTGGCGGAAAAACGCTTTTAACCTTTAACTGCCGCCCGGATTCGACCAATGAAACGTGACGGGATCGTTAACGGAGAGAAAAGGGGGAGGAAGATGCGAGGGGAGGATCGTTGCACGATTTATGCATGTTACACACGGCTATTGTTTTCTCTTGGGAATCGGGCAAGATTGTGTCTTGGAGACTGAGAAATGATTTCAGTTTTTTGGTTTTGTTTTTGTGTCCTGTCAGGTTGGTGGATTTGTCGAGTTATTTAGGGGGTGGGTTTGACAATAGTGCAATTGAGATGGTTAGTTTGGAAGTGAGGCAGGTTTGGTCGTAGGTTATTGTTTATTTATTGCTGATTTCGTTTTTCTTTTCCAATGGACTTGACACACTTTTGAAATAATTCTTAAATAGTCTTAATAGATTCTTCTTTTGTCACATCTTAGCTATAATCTGCGACACGAGTGTGACTCGTCGTTATAAAGCAAAGGGTTAATAGAAGTATCAGACAATTTTTTTGGTTCTTCAAGAGTCTTAAACGATCTTCACTTATAAACAATAGTGCACGCGAATCAGGACTCATATTTACCTCGTTAACCCTTAGTGTCCTCTTTTTTTTATAAAGTTAAAAATCTTTTTCTAGAAAATTAAAGTCAAAATTTAACAAACGAAGTTACAAAGCACACGAGAAATAGTTTACGGTGTTCCTTTCTCTGAAAGTAGTTCAACTAATAGATAGCTCTAACTTAGTTTGTCTACCACGCTGTCAAATCTCGAACATCGAAACAATAACAAAGAAACGATTTTGGCGTTAACGGGTTAATAGAGATCTGATAGACTGCTGCATAATACTTAAACTCTAATGGACAGATTTGAAGGACACGGCTTACCTGATTGTCCGGGTTGTTAACTGCAAAATATCCCAGAACTTGAAATAGTTCTGACAGGATGTAAGTACCACTAGTGTTCTGCGCTGATCCAATTTCTGGCTTGTGCGATATTGGATCTCGTGATAATCGGGTTATGAGATGACTAGCTATCAGTCGCCATTGCAGACTAGTGCCTTCTGCTCCTAAGAGATTCTGGAATCAAAAAAGTATGCACGTTGGTAAATACATTTTGCACGTTAACTTGATATCTCGTGATTTTTATTATAAGGTTGGTGCAAATGTAATGTCGCTTTTTTCAACAGCTGAAATTGACGAGTTCTTCCTTCTTTAACCCTCTTAGCATTTTAGAGCAGATATATCGACTCTGCTTTTCATTTTCAATACAATTTTAATTCATGTAACGACACCCTATTTTTTTGTAGTAGGAAATATAATATTTCCACTGAACAGGAATATATATGCCTCACGCGAAAGCGTGAAGTTATCTTTATTTCTAAGAAATATATGTTAACTTTAATAAGTGTCTTGAAAAATGCATATTTTCCATGGTATTTTTACAATTGTAAAAACTTACAAGGTTAGTGAAAGGGTTAAAACAGAATAGCTTGTTTGAAATTAGACCAATCGTTTTCTTAGAAATTCAAAGGATTAGTTTAGTAGATGACGTGCATAAAAATTTTTGGAAAAGTTACAACTGGTTAGAATCGCGAAGAAAGTCTTTCGATGTCTGTCCCTTGTAATTTTATGCTTGTATTTTAAAAATTTTCATTACGAGCTCAGATAAAAAAGTTGTAAAAGCGACTTCCACTATTCTCTTCGCGATTCCGACCAACTGCAATTATTTCCAAATTTTTCATACACGTCATCTAGCAAACTAATCCTTCCAAGTTCTCCCCAAAAAGACTCAAGTAGTTTGGTGCAATTTTAAAAAAGTTACTCTATTTTAAATGGGGTACCGATACATCTGTGACCCACTGTTTACTAAATTTAGTACAGTTTCATACACAATAGTCAAGAAGAATGAATTTCCTGTAATAAATGTCTATTAATTAGTAAAAAAAGAAATTCGTAATACAATTGTCTGACGTCATGAATGGCAAAAACAGTCGCACAATTAAGAGATTACCAGCAGATCCGTAGAAATTCTTAAATACGACAATAATTCTAAAATTATCGTCTCTATCGGAGGAGTCCGTCTCGTTGAAGGACAACAAAAGACAGACTGCCGCGGAGATTAAAGAATAGCCCAGACCCCGTTGTCAGAAAGTCAAAGAGAATAGATAATAAACGTTGGTTTTTCAGCAAACGCCGTCTACAGAGACCGCAAGAATAATCGTGGCAGTGCCCCATGAGACTCAGCAGGCTCTCCTGCGGGACACGGGATAGCCTTTATAGTTTTTATGGACTGGGGCGCGAGCTTTCGATTCAATTCGTGGTTTGATCATTGCAGGCTTCACGCAAGGGCTTTCTATCTTGACAAGCAAACCCCTGTGGTACACCATATATCTCTATCACACTTTTCTGTTACTCAACCTAATGGAGAGAACTATCGATGATTGGATCCAGGGACAACAGAAAATCTGACTTCCAGCAAATTTGTTTTCTTCGCAATTTTTCAGTTTCTAAGACTGCTTCGCCAATTATTCCAGCCACTTTCGGAGAATCTACGGGAAATTCTGTCGAGTGTGTCTATAGAAAATTCTTTATAGCAAGCGTTTCGTACTTTGAAGGGAGAAAGTAGAAGTCAATTTTTTGCAGAGGATGTAGGTGTAACTTTGAATTTTTGAAAAGTACAAATGTCAGCTTTTCGTTTACACCTTTGAAAAATGTTCCCGAACTTTTCCCTTTCCTTTTTGGCGTTTCAGAGTGGTGTACTCGCTTAAATAAGGGATGAAAGTGTCTCGATTAAATAGACGTATAATTAAGAAAACGCAAAAATATTAATATTTCATGGAAAATACAGAAACTTAACTGTATTGTTATTAATTTCTGAAATATAGTCGACAATAGTCAATTTCATGAATTTTACAATATTGAAAAAATAATGTGTTCTAAATTTTTTGCGAATGCTTGAAATTTATTGGAACCCGAAAATGATTAAAGGAAAGGTTCTGGTTTCATTTCTTCGTGAAATACTGCTGGTTTGCATAGCACGCTTAATTAAAATAGAGTTAGACGTTTCTGCCGCGAATAAAGATCGTTACAACGAAGATTTCCGTTGATATATGAGACAAAGTGCAGGAGTTAATTGAGAATCCTTTGTCTCCTCTCGTACATCAAACGACGACCCCTGTTAATTAATTCAATATAGGAAAAGGTACTGAAGCTACATGTCGTATTCTATTGGTCAGACAGAACAGATCGAATTTCCAGACTTGCCTAACCTTTCGAATATCTCCTGCTTTTTTAAAACACGAATCGTCGTTGTTTTGCTTTATTTGTTAAAAGAGGTATTTAACTAACGCTTGTAGTATACGTATATCACATAAAAGTAAGGTAGATACTAAAATAAAAAAATTACTTTCCCAAAATATGACAGAAAATTGATTTTTAAATTTTTCTTACTTTCACTTCAGCGTTAAATTATTGTAAAATGTGTCTTCATAAGAAAAGTTGAAATTAATCGACGTGATAAATAGGAAGCTCGAGTTCTTTCGTTTGCAAGCAAAAATTTGTTGTTTACACTGAGTTATTAGATTTCGAATGAGAAAGTTTAAACAAAAAATTTCTTAGTTTTAACTATACTATTTGCATCTTTTATTAACGAAATTCGCAAGCAACTCTGTACGACCAGAAACTCATACACGAAGAGAGTATGAGAGTACGAAGAGCGACAGATGGCACAATCTTACCTGTAACTTTTGAAGATTCAATCCGGCAATCGATTTAAGTAGTCTAAGGCTGCGAACAACCAGAATTCTTGTAGACTGAGAGAGTGTGGTCTGATTAGGCGTCGGTGATGATCCCTTCTGATTTTGCGGCGTCAACGCAATTGCTGTATAAAGCGCACCGATCGCACCAGCGGCCTCAGTCGAGGATAATGTTGAGAGTAGGTGCGACTCGAAGCTTGTCTGTTCGACGTTGTTGCTACTCTCGTGAACGGTTCCAGTCTCTTGATCCACTGACTTCTTCAAGTGGCAACATATACGATGGAGGAGATCGTACGAGGACAACAAAACTGGCGATTCGTGGTCCTGATCCACGAAGAAGTCGGTTTCGATCAGAGCGCGACTGTGACGAATAACTCGATCTACTAATCCACCTGCTATCAGGTATCTGAAATAGAAGTGATGGTAAATTTAATTACGTACAATGTTACATATTTTTTTCACGGTATCTTGGTAAATTGACGATCGTCGGGTAACATACATTTTTGGCCAAAAGTATTAGGCATGTTAAATATATTTTGCACGGTCATTTTTCGTTAATTTTGGCGACATTTCGTTGGGTCACCCTTTGCCCAACATTTGACAATCGCAGCAATTTCTTTGTGATTTTTCATTGATTGGGATTTAAAAATTATTATTTAACGAATAAGAAGAAATTGCCATGGTTAACATGATTGCTAATATCTTGCTTTCTCGTCACAAAATTGACCCATTTATCGAAGTTCAGTATGCGATAATTCTCCATGTTGAAATTATTCAAGGGAAATTTCAATTACTATCCGGTATACGATATATGGAATTGTTCGTGTAAGTTTTATTTAGCGAATGTTAGGTCATCTTGAAAATTCTCGTGCTCTTAAGCCATTCATTTTGGAAAAAAAAAAACAACTCCATTAGACATTTTTATTTAAAATGATTTCTTCCAGTCTCTTCCACTCATCTTCTGGAGTTTCTCTGAGAAAAGAATAGTTTTTGTATGTGTTTCGTTTAGAAACTACCATCGAGAAAGTACCTTACTGCAAGAACATTGCTAGCGGAACAGTAGTTTTCATGTTCACACGAAACATGAAGAATTTGGTCATCGACGTTCAATTCCAAATCAACAGTTGCAACCTAAACCTAAAGAAAAGCATCTACACCTTCCACATCTCAATACTTTCCGTCACATTTCGCTACCGGCACTTAAGTGGTCTATTTCTGTCTCGTGGTAGCGCTCTTTTATGAACCACCCCTCTAAAAGCGCCCATAGCTCAACGCAGCAGCCCCTTCAAGCCTCCGTCTAACAATTTTAAAACGAAGGCAACTCGGTTCGACAACTGGCACATCTCGTAGTAGTTACACTCGCACAGAGGTAACTCTAACGTCAATCGCTCGTCAATTCCGGCTGTCTCTTGATTCAACAAAGACCTGTCTCGATCGGTGAACAATGAACACAGGACACTGTGTCTCTCGTTCCGCGGCGGCGAAGTGTGCATATGGGTACTGATAGATCTGGTGTTATAAAACGGCGCGGGGGGAACGTAACGGGCGAAAAAAAAAGTAAGAGAGAGAGAGAGAGAGAGGACAAACAATGTATTGCTTACAGGACAGCATGTGCGACGGCGTAACACGAGAGGATTATAACATCAGTGGGTAATTCTGCGCGCACAGGCCGGCAGAAGAGGGAACAAGCGTCAGCGCATGCGATGCTCATTCTATCGGGTTGTTGTATATGTTTTTCTTTTCTCCT